GCAGGAAGCAGGAAGCAGGAAGCAGGAAGCGTGGTCTTCCCGTGGTTGAGCCTGACACAAAGGACAGCAGCGTCTGTCGTCCGCCGTCTTTGTGAATGTCAGAGTCTGTGTCTCTGCCCCCGACCGGGACGGGACTTTCTCATTGCCCCTAACCGGACCCAGTGGATTGGAGCCTGAAATGAAAAGGTTACCTTTTTCTCAAACAGAAACATGTCAGAATCTGATTTCCCAGTCAAATAGTTCCCCGTTTCTGCTGCTAAAAGTTGGAAGCAGATCGTGAAGGACGACTGTCTGCTTCTCAGAACGGGTTGGTTTTATATTGAAATTTGCTGGGAAACCTTGGATATGCATTCAGTATAAACCATATTCAAGTGATTTGTGACAAGTTATTAAGTGATATGCCTTTTTCTTGTGTGTTTGTGATAAAATCAAAAATAAGACTTGCTGGCCTGATTTTATGTTTAACCAATATTGTGATGATTGCCTAATTTATACACATTTTCTACAGAAATTAAACTTGCATTAAATTGTATTTATATCTTTAGGGTTTGTACATGATACCATATGAACTATAGCTCCTATATTTGTGCATTAAGGAAACAAATGGGAGAGATTACACAGCTTCTGAAAATAATGAGTCCGGACTCTATTAAATAAAAAAGACAAACAAGAATGGCATGTACAAAAATGTATTTGTTGTGCAATATACAGTTTTTTTTAATTGATATTTACAGGTACAGAAAATGGTCAGTGGTGGTTCATAGCCCTGGCTGTACAAGCACAACGTCCTCCTGTGGCAAAGATATGGTGTTTTGCATTACAGGCAATTATAGGTTCTTTAACAGCTTGCTTAGAACCTCATGACTAATACATCCATTCTGAAGATCAGGCAAATAGAATGCTTTTCATAGACAAACATTTTACTGCAAGTCCCAAAAAAACCCAACAAGTGCACAAAGATTAACAGACAATAGGTTTTAAATTCATTATAAAATTTAAGGAGGCTGATGTATACCAACTACTCGCTGTTTTTTGTAATGTGATGATTCTTGTTATACAGTGTATCATCTAAATTAAAAGTTTCTTTTAGTGAACTCTAAATTTGTTTCTCGGACCCAACATTCTGAAAATGCTGAAGAAGTCAACAAAAATTGAGTGTAATCAATACCCCAGCTGCAGCAGAATAATTCAGAAAATACTTGCTATGTTCTGCATTTATATTTTTATTATATCACTGAGCTTTAACAAAAGCAACATTATAAATTGTTCTATGTGCCATCCCAGAATTTCATTTTAACTCTGAATATAATGATTCATGAAGACAAACTAATCCCTTACGATGCATATTATTTGACATTATACCTGTTACTTAAGGTTGATCTGAGTCAGATGGCTGTACTGTTGTAATTAAGAAGAGATGGTCGTGTTTGTACAGTACCTAGATAAAACCCAAATACAACACGGTCTGTAAATTTTAAGCACGCACAGCACATCATTTATACAAGAACAGTAATAAAAAAATAAATATCAGGATACATGCACGTACTATACGAACCCAAGTGGGATGTTTTAAACTGGTAGGTGTTGACTGGGAAAGCTTTCTGCATTACTACCATAGTACTTCCACTCTCCCAAGTTGGAAAACACACTGTGGACTCCCTCTAGAAAAAAGGCATTCATAAATCTGCATCCAGTCCATTTCAACCACATGAAGCACAAACTGGCTAAACATTAACACTGCTGCACTATACAGTCCTCATTCTATTGTGTGAACTCAGGACTGATAACTGAGTAATGGAGCATGTCTGACATGTGACTAACCAGTAATCCAGCCTGAGGATGTACTCTCAGATCTGACATAACAGAGCATTTATCCTGCATATAACTTTAATGGCCACTCTGGCTGCGTTTTCAGTTATTGTACTTGGACTTCATGAGAACTCTGGGTAACAATTTCCGATCTCTTTTTTCAGAAGCAGATACTGTAAATGGCAATGAAAACTTTCTGACTGAACTTGAACAGGGATTAATTATTGACTATTTTTTACAGCTTTCCCTGATTGCTCTATGCCTTCAATCATCTTACCACAGTCTCAGCCGACACGTTCGCCCAGTACAAAATAAACAACTGTCGCCATGATCACCTAAGGCTGAGACAACAAAGATCAAATATAATTGACTAGACGATACAAAAACAGGAAAAGAGAGCCAAACACCCAGCGAGTGATGCTTAATAATTCAGAATATTTATCACCACATGCACAGGAGGTTATGGTAGTGGTATTTGGTGTCATGTACGGTCATCTTCAATGAGCCAAGTATGATCTGAGACGTTCCTGGTCAGAGGTCAGAGGTCAGAGGTCAGAGGTCAGAGACTGCAGGCTCGAGGTTAAATCAATGATCCAAAAGAGAAATGAACAGGCCTTATCTCACTTGAAGACACCTGTGTAAAAAGGAAGGGACTTTTCTCCTCCCCCTCTTCTCGGAAACCTTCCTTAAACTGGCCCCTCGAACCAAGGGGTGTCTGCGCCCCTCTGTGTTCATCATCACCTGCGTGCTGCACTGTCCCAGGATTCCCCCTCCCCCAGCCAGAGGCAGGCTGACCCCCAACCTCCCCACCTTGCAGTCCGGGAAAAGTCCAAAGTGGTGCAGCCCAACCCCACCTTTGTGGAGAAAGGGGACCGGGAATCGGGAATGGGAGGGGAACGGGCTCCCCTGCTCTCAGGGCCGGAGCAGCCCCCACTCCAGGGCCAGGAGGGCGTGGGGGGCGGCGGCGCGCTCCTTCGGCTTCTTGAAGTTGTCCTTCTCTTTGCGCAAGACCCGCAGCACCTCGATGGGGTCCCTCTTCCCCGTGAACGTCTGCACGCTCTCCTCCCTGCGAAGAGGACACGGGTGGGTGTGACAAATGCGACCATAAAACACCCTGGTGGCGTTCAGGGGTGCCTATTAGCCCCTCTTTGGCAGACTGGTTCTAACAATACCCCCACAAATCCCGCTTGGGAAAGCAGAAAGACGCAGATAAGCAACCTCGACTCCGGCTTGCCAGTGCGTCACGCAAAGGGATTTACCTGTATGTGACCCAGATTGAATAGCAAGGGCTTACGACGTCAACCTGTGCCTCGTGGGGTTTTCTGGCTGTCTGGGTGCAAGCTGTGGGTGTCACAGTTAGCGCGCCAATCTCCTCCCCTCCCATGTGCAGCCAGGGTCTTGCCTGGCAGGAGACACTCACGACAGTCGCAGGAAGGGGTTGTACTCAAACTCCTCCGATAAGGTGGACGGCACTGTGGGCTTGTCGTCGTCATCTCGGGCCTGAGAAAGAAAGACAAGAAGGACAAGAGAAGGGATCCTTCGTAAGACAGCAGGTGGAATCTGCTTTTCGGACACAGCAACCACTGAGAAGACATCTGAGATTTAGGTTACAGCTACAACAAAGCCACATCTATTCCATTAATACACAGCGTACTACTAAATGAACAAGGAGTCAGGTTACAGTCTCAGATCTACTCGGGGACTAACGCGAAGCTGTGCTGATATAGGTTGTGCATGACAACCAACTGGAATGCCGTGGGTTCAAATCCCAGGTGTTACACTCCAGGTACAAGCCCTGCTCTACAGGCCGTCAGTGTAAATGAGAACGTGTTGACTTAATTAAGTAAACAAAGGGTTGAATAAAAGACAATTAAATAAGACTGTAAATTCTGTGACGATGTTGGCAAACGGCGTCTCCTATACCTCACCCTGGCCCAGGACAGCATCTGCTTCACCTTTTCATTCCCTGGCTCTACCTTCAGAGCAAACTTCAGGTTCTTGATGGTGTACTCATGCCCGCAGAAGACCTTCTGCACACGCCACAAGAAAACAGAGAGCAACCTTAATTTAGCTGAACGACGCTGCAGCAAATGACGGCAGGATAAACAGACGATTATAAAGCCGAAGATGGAAAATTGCAGGCCTGCAGGTATAGGTTACGGTGCTATTAGCTGACTTCCTGTAAGCCTGTGCATCAGCCGGAATAATTCCTTTTCCGAGACTGGGGTGGTCACCTACAAAGTGACACTGCCTTCAGCGAGTGCGCCACCGATGCAGCTGGACGCAGCGACAGAGACTGACCGTGTCCTTCGGCAGGGAGCCCAGAACTTCGGTGAGATTCCTGTGCATCTGTTCGGCCGTGCCCTCGAAGAACTTGCCGCAGCCGGCTACGAACAGCGTGTCCCCTGCCACGCAGGGAAGAGACATACCGGGGTTAACCACAAGAGCACGCAGCTCTACCACGCTTTGATATCCAACGTACAGAGGCAGGAGCAGGAGATGTAAGTTGAGTACAGTCGTTAAAAAGACCCAGGGACTGCGAGATGTCGTGGATGGGCTGCGCACAGTTTCTGCTGAGCAACGGGCCGAAGCAGAAGAGAGTTTTAACATCAATGGTTCCCCACACTTTCACTGCCCGATCTTAAACTAGCAAATGTCCACTGTAGTTTTTCCTGTTTGTTTGAAACCGTATTTTTTTTAAACGATGAAAACGCACCCGGAAGGGAATATTAGAAAGCAGGATGTTGTGTAAGGATTTTAACCTGTAAAAACCGCTGGGGCATCTGCGCAGTCATCCTCCCACACGAAGTAGCACATGTGTCCGGATGTGTGGCAGGGGGTGAACAGGCACCTCACGTTGATGGAGCCAAACTGTAACCGAGGCAGGGAGAAGGGAAGACTTTTGTTATTTTTAACCATACTGGCGGCTGAACTCTTTTCAAGTGGATCATTTTCACCCTGAACCTCTGAACCTGAACAACAGATTCTCCCTGTTTGCCTTCTTTTTTATCACTGCAACAGTGTTCCTAAGGGATGTGGGAAAAAACAACCAAGAGAAAAAGTCTTGACTCTTGACTCTGAGAGCTACAAAGGGCCAAGTCACTATTGAAACCCACTGGAAAGATTAGTGACAGCTGCAGAGGGTTTCAGGCTGCGCATGTTGCATGCCGAGATGCGTAATCAGTTATGCATGTACTG